CCCGGGACCGAGAGCGCGCCGAAAAAGAATCTTTGACCCCAATCCCGCGAGGCAGGGTAGGACGTGGGCGAGCAAAGGAAGGAGTTTATGTCTTTGAGTCTACTGAAGTTGACCCGTCTCTAGCAAGTAAACAGCTTGAGACTGGTTATGGCTCATTGCAGCCAACGAGCTACTGGTCTGTACCGGAGCAACGCGATTTCCCAGGGCTGTTGGCACATTTTGGTCGTGATTTCGAGGGCATCTCGGGCTGGATGAAGACCAAAACAACGGTGATGGTACGTATTGGGTCGTTTCGTCCCATGTTTGCAATTGCTCCACTAGTCGGCTAACATGCATGATACAGGTCAAAAACTTCTATCAACGCCGCCTGGACTCGGGCCAGAAAGACTTCGAGTTGATTCTAACGGACGCAGAGGAGAAGAAGGCTCGCGGTGAGCCCACAGGACCACTTCCTATTCCAAGTGTTGCGCCAAAGCGACGATACGAGGCGACTCCGTCTTCCATTATTCCTCGTCCACTTGCCCCTCATGGGGATCCTATGGCTGAGGCCGATGAAGTAAGATTCCCGAAAGGCAAGCCTGTTGGTCTCTCACCGCAGCCCATGTCTCTGCATGCGCGACCTTCGTCTGACAAGGAGCGGAATGTCGGTCGCTACCAGCCACTCGCACAAGCTTCCGCTGCTTCACCAGTGCCCTCTACTGCGACTCTGATCGAAGAATCTACTCGGGCAATTCGCGCGCAAGGAGGACCGTCTCAGCGCATTCAGGGCCCACGCCTCGGGTATTTCACAGAGGATAGGCGAGACTCTTCAGTGTTGCCCCATACCACTTCACGTACGCAAGAACTACCAATGTCCTCGCGCCATCATGGCTCCATGCCACCGGATATGGCCCGAATGGAACCTTTGTCCGCACAGGGCTATATTCCCGCACAGCAGCCTGCCTCTCTTCTTTCATCGACACACTCACGTCACCAAAGCTCGACGCAAACCCCCGGCTCGCCAACCCAGCAGATAAGACCAGAACTTGACATCTCGTCTGTTCACCGTGATCCTTTTGCCCAAAGACCCTATTACTCGCTCGCAAGTCAACCCATGGGTCTAGCCCAGTCGCCCCGCCCTGGATTGTCGCCAGTGAAGGATGTCCCTCGCCCGAGTGCCACTCCTGCACCCGACGCAACGCGTCAGGTGCCTGCCAAACGGTCCAATATCATGAGCATCCTCAATGATGAACCCGAAGAGCCTCAGCCACGCAAACGATTTGCCAGCGAGCAGGCTCCATCTGGCCCTGGCGCAACCCCGGGCATAAACCCAAGGCCTGTATACCAGGCTGGAGCACCCCCTCGGCACGAAGACACTATCATGTCAGGTATGTCGCAAAAGCCATCTGGTTATGCTCAGCAAAGTCAATATCAACCTTCATCTCGTGGCTACGAGTATCCTGGTTATGGTCCTCCTCATGGTGGCTCGGGCACATCAGCGAATAACGACTGGATGGCACGGTTTGATCCACGGGCGCAACAAACACCGCCGCAACCCCAACCCCAATCACTTCCATCACAGCAGCAACAAAGCGGCCGCCAGGGTTCATATTCCTCGTACGCGGCAACCCCGAGCCAATCTTCGGTGCCTTTGACGAATCTTCCCGCGCCATCCCCAGCGCCGACTCCCCCGCCCACAGGTGCCTCTCAACGATCGGCTTATCCTAGTGTTTTCTCCCAACCCTCATCCGCTCAACCACCCATGGCCTCTGGCTCCCGAGATATGGCTTCGCAATCGACTTCCTATCGACAGGGGTCACCTGGACCGCGTTCCAGTATGGCATATGGATCGCGACAGGATCCACCAACGCCAGCGCAGTCTTCGGCTAGCTTGTATGGTATGCATACGCGTCAGTCTGCAACGCCAAATGCAGTACAGTCACACAGCTATCAACAACATGTGCAAACAATGGTCAGTGGGTCGCATCAGCCGCAACCCCAGCGCTCAACACCTGTCAACTTACCCGGTGCTTCTTCTTCACAGTACGGACACAACACCCCTCCTCCCCAGTCCCAGGCTGGCCGGTCAATGGCATCGCTGGCGAGCCACGGTCGTTCATTCACGCCTCCATCGGCTCTACATCCCTCTATAAGCGGAGGCACCATGGGTAGCTATGCTCCCTCCCAGTCATCCGCATCTGGATCGATACCGCCACTCCACCAACGACCTCCAGGATCGCTTAATGACACTGTCTCCACCCCAACACATCACCGTGTCTACAGTCATGGGTCAGCTCAAGGTGGACTGCCGCCCCCTTCGCAACCTCCTCGATAGGGTACCATGTTCGGTTGATTTGAATGAACTTCATGTGGAATGTAAGACCGTCACGGGATCGGTTGTACATTAATTTGTCGTTCTTTTCTCTTGTTTAGCGTCCTGGCGTCTTTGCCAGCGAGGATATTCATTTGATCATGGTTCATATGTATAAGTAGATGAATGATTTTATATGTCATTTTTGATCAAATGTAATGCACATAATTGTAGTACTCAAAATCTACAATGTTCAGTGAAAACTGGCTTGGTGTCCTCCCACCAGACATTTCGTTACCGGTCCATCTGGTTCATATGGCTGGGCAGGTTCCACTCGTCATAGTCCAAATGCACAAAGGCACGGTCGACCGTAGGTACACTTTCGATGATGTACTGCAAACTCTCGCCAACGTCATGGCTATCCCGCAAACTGATCTTTTCGTCCACAACCAGGTCAACCTCAACGTTCAGCTTGTCACTCGCGTAGTAGGCTTTCAAGTCCTGAATCTTGTGAATGACTCGAGAGAAGCGCATGGTCATGTACAATAAAATGCTATGATCGTCGGGGGAGGCAGCTGCACCTGTCAACCTTCGGATGTATTCCGCGGCCGTCTGACCCCAGTTCCACATGATGTAGAAGGAGAGGAATAGACCACCTAAGGGGTCCAAATACCAGAGATTTGCAAAAGTGCCAACTGCCATTACCTGTTAGTTGGTGCGCTAGTAGCGAATAGGCATGAGAAAGAAGTAGCCAGGCTTACTCAGTGGGAAGATGATGCTGAAGGTGTTGAAAATTACGTCTGTCATAGCATCCTGGGCCAAGACCTGGACGCTTGGGCTAGGAATCAACCGGCACCAGATCCAGCAGAGCAGCTTAACCAAAACAGTACCACCCATCAACGCGATAGATGTCGTGGATAACTCAACAACGGTATGGTCGTCTCCAGCCAGCTGTTTCATAGATGACAGTGCTACTTGGAAAAAGGAAGTCACCATGATGACCGAGAAGATCAACACACTGATGGGCTCTAACCGTCGCCGGCTGATGGGATACCGGTTGCGATCTTGTCGGCGGATCATGATGGTGGTTATCCAGACAATCACTGTGCTGAAGAAATCCAAGACTCCATCAACCAGACCTGCCAGCATGGACATGGAACTAGTCATTGCCATGATAGCAATTTTTGAGCCCAGAAGAGCAACGTTGGCGACAAAATTGATGCGAATGGCCAGGTTGATGACGCGCTCCTCGTCATCTGGGGACATCCCACCGTGCGACTCTATATCAGGGAATGGCTCTGAGGGGCCGTCTTCTAGCCCGGGAGAGTGTATCAAGGGTGTTGTCTCACTGGGAACCCGATAAAGATTGTGCGGGGTGCGTTTGATCCTTCCGACCTTGGCGGTTCGTTCTGGCTCCTGATCTTCTGGAGAGATGATTCCGTTTCCCGCAGCATGATTGCATCCGTTGTAGTCCTCAATCAGGTTATGGGGTAGGGAAGAGTCCAGTAGTCGGTCAATATAAAGATATTGGGAGATCAGTCCATTGTTTCGTTCATGATATTTCCGACTATGTGAGGGGTCAGTGTCCTGTTTCATTGAAGCGAGTGAAGAACGAACATTGCCTTTGGAAGGTTCTTTAATGACTCGGGTGATTTGTAGTAACGTTGCCTGCGGACGGGATTAGGATGAAATTGCGTCCGGAAAGAAGAGCAAGATATACCATTCATATCGAGGATTACTGCGTCCAATTAACAGTGATCCGCGTCGAAGGAAGAGTCGCCGTTCAGATGTATCATCATCGAGATCATGCAAGGCAAGACTAGATGTGCGCGACGGTAACAGGTTCAACAAGCGTTGACCTCTCGTAGAAAGGATTTCACGCTCCGGTTCTAAGCTTGGACGCCTCGGGCGTAGAATTGGTTCAGGCGGAGGAGAGGAAAGCGGAAGAAATGGTTGGGAAGACATCAATGGGCTTTGATTGATATATCAAAGATATAGGTGGTCGGGGGAAATCCGACCCTCTCTCAGTAAGCGCCAAGAGTTGATGCCTGATATTGATTCCTTAGCAAACATACCTCCAGATACTTAGGTACCATATATCGTGGCATCTTCAGATAATAGAGAATGTAATATTTCTCAAAGTTAGCCATCGGTATTTCAGTTTTACTATCCTGAATGTTATGTTCACAACAAAGGACATAGAGTATTAGATTGATATATATCTCGAAGATACTCGGCTGCACGGGTTGAATGCAAAAAGTATAGTTCCGGGTAAAAGGTACCTTTGCTATGGGATACACATACAAACGGTACTCGAAAACATATATATATCTCGAGCATCCTATTTCATACAAATCACCATGTGGTTGATATTCATCTGTGTATCGCAGGCGTAGGGACAGGTATGAACTACATAGCTTAATTTGAGACTCTAGAAAGGTATGGGAATGGCTATTCATCTTCAGATAGATCTATTATCTTCTATATGTGTAGAACGGGAATGCTCGTTCCGCGCAAGACGGAATGAACATTCCGCCCATGCGCAGTGGAGACCATCTTCCCCGGACTGGTCAAACACGTTGCCGATGAGAAGCTGTTGCTGATTCTGTGTCAATTATGACTGGCTCAAGGGTATTATGTGTTTTCATGGCCCGACAATAGCCATGAGAGAGAGTCCACGGAAATATGCCCGCATACAGGGTTATAAGAGATGCAGTGCGCTGTCTCTCTCACAGCCATTATTGTTGATTTTTACTCTACCATGGCAGTCCAAACGGTCGCAGTCGCTGTCATCACAGTGGTTTATTTACTCATTCGCTATTTCAACCGCACAGATATCCCTAAGATCAAAGGTATCCCCGAGATCCCTGGTATACCGATCTTTGGCAACCTATTACAACTAGGAGACCAGCATGCAACAGTCACGGGAAAATGGGCAAAGAAATTCGGTCCAGTTTTTCAGGTGCGCATGGGAAACAAGGTAAGTACTTTGCTTTTGAAAGTGGGAAACTATCTACGAAGTACAGAATGTGATCCTCTAATCCCCCTCATAGCGTATCGTATTCGCCAACAGCTTTGAATCCGTCCGCCAGTTGTGGATCAAAGACTCGTCCGCTCTGATCTCCCGCCCCACATTTCACACCTTCCACAGTGTCGTCTCCAGCTCACAGGGCTTCACGATCGGAACGTCCCCATGGGATGATTCCTGCAAGCAACGCCGTAAGGCGGCGGCCACTGCGTTGAACCGACCGGCGGTACAATCCTATATGCCCATCATCGACCTCGAATCCAATTCTAGCATCAAAGAGCTGTACCGAGATAGCCAGAACGGCAAACGTGATGTGAATCCCACTGCATACTTCCAGCGATTTGCCCTCAACACCAGTTTGACTCTGAACTATGGGTTCCGTATCGAGGGTAACGTGGATGATACACTGCTGCACGAGATTGTGGATGTGGAGCGTGGCGTGTCCAACTTCCGCAGCACGTCGAATAACTGGCAGGATTACATTCCATTATTGCGGATCCTCCCCAAGATGAACAAAGAGGCTGCCGACTTCCGGGGTCGCCGTGATAAATATCTGACTTATCTGCTCGATATGCTCAAGGATCGCATCGCCAAGGGAACGGATAAGCCTTGCATCACTGGTAATATTCTGAAGGATCCCGAGGCTAAGCTGAATGATGGTAAGTCACAAAGGATCAGAATGTTGTATTGAGTACTCATCTATCAACTAGCCGAGGTGAAATCGATCTGTTTGACTATGGTGTCGGCTGGGCTGGACACTGTTCCAGGAAACCTGATTATGGGGATTGCCTACTTGGCATCAGAAGACGGCCAAAGAATTCAGAAAAAGGCCTATGATGCAATCATGGAGGTCTACCCGAATGGGGATGCTTGGGAGAAATGTTTGGTGGAGGAGAAGGTTCCCTATGTGACTGCCCTGGTCAAGGAAATCTTGCGGTTCTGGACGGTCATTCCTATCTGTCTGCCACGCGAGAGCACCAAGGATATCCAGTGGAATGGAGCCACGATCCCTGCTGGTACGACTTTCTTTATGGTAGGTTGTTCTTTCTGCGTCAAATTGGTACTTTGCTAACAAGGCCTTTAGAATGCCTGGGCTGCCGATTACGACGAAGACCACTTCAAAGATGCCGATAAATTCATCCCGGAACGTTATATGGAGTTGAATGAGGGCGCAGGAACTCCCCACTACGCATATGGAGCGGGATCACGTATGTGCGCAGGCTCACATCTTGCCAATCGCGAGCTGTTCACTGCTTTTATCCGCCTTATCACTGCTTTCCATATGCACACGGCCAGAGAGGCCGCCGACCGACCCATTTTGAATGCAATTGAGTGCAATTCAATTGCGACAGCCTTGACCACCGAGCCAAAGCCATTCAAAGTTGGCTTTACTGCGCGCGACCCTAGTAAGCTTGAGCAGTGGATTGCTGAGAGCGATGAACGCACCAAGGATCTATGAGAGATGAACATTTTGGATTTCTGAATTGCTATGTGTTGTAACTCCTCTTATTCCCCAGGCTTTTTATGTATTAAAATAGGGTTGAAATAAAGACAATGAAGTATAGATATCGATTCGGAGCTCAATCATAGTCGACCTCTCCGTAAGCTTTTACAACCCCCGAAACTTGAGTACTTATTGGAAGATATTGTAGAGATATGAAGATAATTGAAATCAGCTTATTCTCATACACGACTTCTTTAGATATGTTCATCTCTTTACATCTCTGTACCTCCGGTGCTATAGAAATCTACGGGGCTGGGGCGGAATCTCCCCGCGGACTTCTCAGACTCCACACTTTCCTTCGCATTCCCCGAATTGAAATGGATTCAAGTCGCCATTCGAACCATTAGAACCATTTGAGATGACCGATCTACAAATAAACCTTGCCACCGAGAGCTGGAATAACCCCTCGGTGGGTGACAATGATCGACCGCGGAAGAAACGCCGCAAATACATCGCTAGAGCCTGGTCAGTTTGGAAATGATAGTGTTCAAGATCCGTGTCTGACAACGGCGTGAAGCACCGAATGCAAACGTCGAAAAATCAAATGCAATGGCCAGTCACCCTGCCAGCGCTGTGGACGGCAACATATTGAGTGCATTTACGTTGAGAACATCCGAGAAAGTCCCGCGGAGCCAGAGTATGCCCACCCCAGTTCTGGTATAGTTGAACACTACTAATTCTGAGTTAAAGTAACTTCAAGCAGCTTTTTGACCAAATGAGAGCCATGCAGGACCAGATCACACAGTTGTCTGCCAGTATTCGATCAATAGCTAGCAGCGAACGTTCCCTTGGGGTTCCCGCTACCGGAACCTATCAGCTCCCTACTCAACGTTCACTCCGACGCTTATCAACAGCCAAAGAAACGTCGTTCCAAGGCCCGACGACATCTGCCTTTAGTTTTGGTCTTGCAAAATCCAGCTTGCAACAGCGCGGAATTGTGGAACGTGCCGAGGTTGGCGATGAGGGTGATATGACTCGAGAACCTTCACCGCTGGCATCGCCATCGACTCTAGATGAGGAACCTGGAGCGCGCCAGACCCTCGACCCACTTTGGGTGCTTTCTAAGGCTGAGGCACTTCGCCTCTGCCGAGTCTATGAGGAGGAAATGGGCATCATGTACCCGATTCTGGAGCTGTCGGAGATTTCGGCCCAGGTTCACCTTCTCTACGGCCCAGTGGATCGCGCACTTGGACCGGTCCGCCAACCGGAGGAACAACATGGATTGGCTCGTGAAGATGTTCATATTCTGCGTGTAGTGTTTGCGTGTGCCTTGACAGCCGAAGCCAGTGGTCGGAGCGAACAGGCCATTGCGCTTTTCGATAGTGTACGGGAAATTCAGGACAATTGTGTCTGGGGTCCGCCCGACATCAAGAACATCATATTTCTGACTCTCGTGGTTTGTCATGCCCAATTACCCATGAACGCTTGACATGCTAATTGCAGTAGTCAATGTTCTACTTTCAAATAGATGAGGAAATCTTGGCATGGCGCACCGTTGGTATCGTTGAGCGCATGTGTCTCGAGAAAGGTCTTCACCGACGGGAAACCCTGAATCAACCGGCCGTCACAGCTGTGGGGAAGGACCGCGTTCTGCGAATTTTCTGGTCTGTATACATTCTGGATATGCGTTGGAGCTTTGGGACTGGGATGCCATTTGCTCTGGAGGATACGGACATCGACCCGTGGCTGCCAGAGCCCGAAGAGAAAACGCCCTATCTGCGCGTGATGATCCGGTACAGCCGAATTGCAGCAAAGGTGTGGAAGTTTATATCGGCATTTAACAACACGAACGAAATCAAAAAAGAAGAGATGAACTATCTGGATTGGCAAGTGCTGCGTTGGGTACAGGCCATTCCAGACTCGTTGCGGCTCAATCATCCAGGTTCTGCGGAGTCTGAGACTGCCGTGGAAGGCTCACGTAGCCTGCGAAGACTGCGAGCCCTACTTTATCTTCGTGCCAACCAGCTCCGCATGCTCATACATCGTCCCGTACTCCATACTTCAGTACATGTGATGCGGTATCCTGGCGAGTCAGCGACCGTGGTGGAAATCGCCAAAGATACAATTCGCTTCATTACCCGCCTGAACGATACGTCGGATATCTATCAATTACAGCAGGTGGCGTTCAATTGGTTCCTCGTCTCGGCCCTCGCCGCATTATTTCTGGCCGTAGCCCAGGCTCCAACACAATTCAGCGGGTCGTGCAAGGAGGAATTTTACTGGGCCTTGGAGCTGGTCAAAGGAGTCTCAACACAGTCTTACATCTCCCGCCGACTATGGAGGTCTATTCGAAGCCTGCGCAAGCTTGGCCCTCAATTGGGGCTAGGTGTCCAGAAAAAGCGCCAGGACGTTGCAGCTGGAGGCGAAAGTGAATCTTTAAATGTCCAGGATTCTCCTGCATTGCCCCAATCTGCCAGCACCCAGAGCCAGACACCGCAGGATGGGGAACAAATGACAAAGGAGCTGATGGCGTGGTTTGAAGCCGTAGGCAACCTGGAGGATCAAATTATGGGGATGGGAACGGGCCCTGTACCAGATAGAGGTCATTACCAGCAGATGTCTGACGGGGGGGTTGTGTTTGATTACGGCGAAGAATTGTCGAGTGTGATGAAGGACTTTTTCTAAAAAGAATATCACCAATTTCGAGATGTCCCTAGAAGCGGGTCCGTCTCGTCCGCTCGTTCATTGTGAACTTTACTTGAAGACGAACGACGTAAGGCTAATAGCAGAAGTATTGCCTGGCCGAGGGTGAAAACCAAGCCGTCAATGATGACCCAACCGACAGCCCCGTACCAAGTCGAAAAAATGTTCCAATTGAGCCGACCATCCCACTGCTCATATGGAAATGGGAGACTCCATATCCACGTCACTGAGACTAAGGTGAAAACAATTGCTTGCAAACCCAGGCCCTGCAAACTCAGCGCATTTGGAAATGGGACTACCCAAATCGCACGAGCTTGATGACAAATACTCAAAGCGCCCAAGGCTGTGATTATTGGATAGAGCAGCAGGCAATGTATAGCGAAGTATACTGCGAACAAGAATCTGCGGGCATCGCCATCGATTGGCGAGATCGCATCGATGACAAGAGGCACGATCGAGATGAAGAGAAAGCTCATGTATGAGGCGGTCAAGAAGATTCTGTGGTCGCTATAGAACACAACTTGCGTAAACCTAAAAAGAAGACCATTAGAGCCCACAGTGATCTGAATACAGTACGGAGCGGTCTTACAATGTCAGGAAGAGGATTGTCACCACAGCACAGTGGCACAAGCTAAACCGGTCACCGACAGTTGGAGGACAGTGCAGAAAGATAGTGCCATCAGGCTCGTTCTCAGTAATGATGAGGTATACATAGATGGTGAGCTGTTCAGTTGCTGATATCAAGTTCCACAAGATATAACATGGAGAGAGTCCAGCTGTAGTCTTTGTCGCTTGGATACGCAATATTTGGGGAAGAAATGAACCGACGGTGAGAACTAGCAGGATACTGCTGGAAGTCAGTACAGATTTCCCTAGGACTGTATCAAAGTATGCGTACATGCGACACCATAGAGGTGGTTCGGGAAGTGACATTACTGTATATTGTGACTCTGTGATGATACTGTGACGAAAGACGGTCTATATAGAAGTCGGCTTTATGGCAGAAATTAGCACACCACGTTCGTATCAGACTTGAGGTTGAAGAGTTGGAAAGGAAAGGGGGAAGAACAGACGGACAATGCCAAGAGATTGTGACCTTAGAAGCCGCTAGTAACACACGCGATGTAACATCTCGCTCTGGACGAAGTTCATCCTCGATCCAATTGATAGAGTCTGGGAAAAAGTGTCATGTACTTACTAGTTAGTCCGTACTATATATTATATACATGTTTTCATAACGACCATATAGTACCTTAGGCACTGGTACTGCCATTGTAGGCTGAGTCTAGGTATAAGATGCATACATTCTCGAATCCTTCTTGAAATTCCGATAGCCTGCATTGATCGCATGGTTTCTCGATATTATTGCATAAGACTCTGACATGCTGTCTCCCGTGGCGCTGCGAAATGACCTTACAAATATGACCTAGTAGATATACTTGAATTCCAGCTCTCCATCACCGGTCTGGACCCGTCGAGTGTCTTCCTTTTCACCACTGATAATTTGCTCCTTCACCTTGTTTTCCCGCCGTAAGTAGAGACCATATCCAACCACCGTGGCTTGCGCTACCACAAGGGATCCCAGAGAGAAGGAGTTACCCAGCACATAAGGTGAGGTGCGATAGACCTGACCGGCAACGATACCGGCACAATTGCCGATTGTCTGCTGGAGACCAATCGCGAGGGCGCGACGGTATTGTGGGGCGACATTCACATTCAGCCAGGCGACGTTGAGACCAACGGATGTGTAGGTGGTGATGCCGATGAGGAAAGTGGCAAAGTATTTGACGGCGGTATTGTCTACGGCGAGAAGTATAATGTAACCGACCAATCCGAACATGTTCGCTCCGAATATGTACTGCAGTATTGAAAGGTCAGAGAGGAACGGCGTGGAGACTGCAAGGGGGCTATACGCACCGATGCAAATGTGGAATATCGGTCTGAGCACCAAGCAATGATGACAAAGATCAAGGCAGCCCAGACATAGACTGGGACAGTCAAGACGTTGCTCATCAAGGAATCGTAGCCCATGCCACGCAGGATAGTGGGAAGGAAAGTGCTGAACCCATACAAGAGGATATCCTGGCAGAACTGAACGACGCTACTGAACATCAACTTGGGATCCCTCACTGCGATGCGCATCTCTTCCCAGCTAAATTCTTCACTTCCCATATACTTGCGACGCTGTTCATTGCGTACTCGCATCATCCATTTCTCCTCTTCGGTGAGGAAGTAGGCTTCGGCCGGGTTATTTGGAAGACCGAACCAGATGAGAGCGGCACAGATGATGCTGAACAGGCCCTCAATGATATAGACCCATCTGAAAGAATCGTAAGCATTGACCTTTGTAGTGAAATAGAAGAAAAAAAATCTCACCTCCATCCTGCTTTGCCACCAATTCCGTCCATCTGCAAGAGGCCATAAGCCAAGAGACCTCCTACAGCCCCCGCGATGGCAGCACAACTCATCAGGTAAGAAACACGCTTTGCTTGCTCCTCTCGACGATAGACCGTGGTCAGGTAGAGATTGAGACAAGGGAACAGACCTGCTTCACAAGCACCCAAAATAAGACGGGTCGCGTAGAGAGAACCCACCGACTGGATAAATCCAGTGAAGATAGTGGTTAGGGACCAAACAATGCAGAGTCCCGTCAAGATATTGCGAGGGGTCAACTTCTTCATCATGACCGCCCATGGTGCTTCAAAAAGAACATATGTGACGTAGAAAATGGAGACAGCGGTTGAGAATTGGTCTGGTGAAGCATGGATGTCTTCGGGCATATTGGCAACCTTGACATTTCCTGAGTCACTGTTAACTTGTGGTGTTCTTTTTTTCTTTCCCTTTTTTTCCCATGGAAGATATCAAACTCACCGATACTCGATCTATCCAGGAAACAGGTGAGGTAGGTCAACATGATAATAGGCACAAAAGCGGTATCCAATTTGGCGAGGAGCTTTGCCTCTTTCTTTGGATCCAAGACTACATCCGAAGCCTCGCCGTCGATGGCACATGCTTCTTCGGTCTCCTTTTTCAGGGAGTCCTTGAGCTCCAAGGGGGTAACGGTCTTGTGCGACATGACTGCGATGAGGTTACAAGATCGTCATGATCAGAAATAAGGCCAGGATTCAAAGAATATATCATACACGTGTTGAGTGGATCATAGTGAAATTGGACTCCTATCTTCGGCCGATATCAGCCAAGACCAGTCCACTGAGGTGGGGAGATATCGGGCCGATGGCGGTGATAAGAGACGAAAGATGAAAAGTCGAGGGGCCAAGATAGGTAAAAGGGTAACAATGGGCCAATAAGGAAGGTGATTAATAGGAACTAATTTGCCACTTGTGCAAGCCACGATGATCCGAACTGATCCTAACTATAAGAGGAAAGTCAATAGACGGCTATTGAAGGGGGTGGAAAGGGTGTTGATAGGCATACAAGCAAAGCCCTCGAGGTCGTGGGGTTTTCCCCAACCTTTTTCCCCAGACCATCGGTATGTGGATCCCGAAAAAAAAAGGTGATAACCGAGGATATTGTAGTCAGAATATGATAATATCATATTAATATGGACGTGATTAATATGGATGGCGAGATTGGACTCCGTTGACAAATTCTCCCAAATCTGGTCAATCTGGTCAATCTGATCAATCTGGTCAATATGGTCAGCATGGTCAATATGAACAATACTGCCCAAGAGGCACGACTGCGCTGTCGCCAAAATCAACTCACCAATACCGCGGGTGTTGCACCGGGATACTTACAAGCAAACCTTCTGGTACTTCCATCAAAATATGCTGCAGATTTCCATGATTTGTGTCTGCGCAATCCAGTCCCCCTGTCCCCTACTGGGGATGACCGCTGTTCCGGGGGACCCAAATTTCGTTCGACCGGCAGAGTGTATTCGGTCCGAAGATTTTGATCTTCGGACAGACTTCCCCAAGTATCGAGTATATTCAGCCGGAAAATGCATTGAGAGTCGTCGTGACTTGTTGGATGTATGGACCAAGGATCATGTGGGCTTTTTGATTGGGTGCTCGTTCTCATTTGAAGATGCCCTGACAGCGGCAGGGTTGCCACCCCGTCACCAAAAGACTGGTACAATAGTTGCAATGTACCGATCAAACATTCCGTTATTACCCGCCGGGATATTTACCGGTGGTCACTTTATTGTATCCATGAGACCGTATCGCTCGGAGCACATCGAGAGAGTGAGGGAGATCACTCGTGCCTATTTGTCGACGCATGGAGAGCCTGTCGCTTGGGGATGGGATGGTGCCAAGCAACTGGGAATTCTTGATGTGACAAAGCCAGACTTTGGGGAAGCGCAAACATTTGAGGAGGGTGAAGTTCCTGTGTTCTGGGTAAGAATTCTACATACGCATATCACATGATCACCATCTGATTCATCTTACAGGCTTGTGGAGTGACACCTCAAATTGCAGTCGAGGCAGCAAGTGATAAAATTGAAGGCCTGGTCTTTGCCCATGAACCTGGCCACATGCTAGTCACTGATTGGACAGCAGAAGATTTGCAGAAACTCAAGCCGGGAAGTATTTAGAGGAAAGCATTTAGATACTCAAGTCTCGCAACATCTAGATTCTGAGATTCTTATTTCAAGGCTAGTGCTAAGCTTTGGCTTCGTGACTTTGCACCGCATCAACTTCAAAGTCTCTGAATTCCACTGCGATACCATCCCCAATGGCAAAAATCCCAATAACTGGACCAGTGAAGTCGTGATCTGTCAGGAGTGCGGTGTCAAGTGTGGCCAAGTCATGCCAGGCTGCTTCATCGACGCGGAAGGAGAACTGCAAAGATGTCTCCGTGTAGTCGATTTTGAAAGATACGAGATCTTGGAGTTCCACATTTTCGATTTCCCTTTGAGAAAATGACTTGGCCTGATTGATTCCGTTGAAGACGACTTGCTGCGAATGAAAGTCGTATTCAATGATCAAAAATCGGTGTTCGTCCTTATAGAGACCTAACCCTGCTCGGACTGAGGTGGAATGCTGTGGCTTGTACACAGTGACTGTGGCAGTGCCTTCAAGTCTTCGTTGTCGCTGGCCCACAAAAGTAGTTGACTCATCCGCGCTGGTCATTTCTACCAGGTCGGACTTTAATGTAATGCGGTTGTCTTGCATATGGTATCGATCCAATCTTGCGTCTCTCAGATAGACCCAAGAGGCAGCAAGCGGGTCTTGACCTTCAGGCTTGAAATTTGCTTCCAGATTCCCATCGCATGTTATCGGCTTGATGGTCGGCCACCCGTTGCAAGGCCAATCAACCGATGTTAAGAATGTCTCCCTTCCCATGATTGATCGCCCCTTCTTCTTGCGAACACCTATCATGACGACCCACCATTGCCCGTCTTGATCTTGGAAAAGATCACCGTGTCCAGTGTTTTGGACATATTGAGCGGTGCCGCTAGCTGTGTACAACGGATTCATCTCATAGGACTCATACGGACCCCATATATTCCTTGATCGCGCCATGCTCAACATGTGGTATTCAAACGTTTCCCCCTTCAGCACATAGAAGGTAGTACCAGCCATCCTTTTTATATATGTGTGGGCCCTCTGTATATCCTTTCTTCCACCCCGTCCAGATGAGAGTGGGTTCCGCAATCATCGCCCCCGATGTAATGTCGATTTCGCTGTTGTAGATCTCAAACTCGGGTCCTACTTTGCAGAGTTGGACGTACACCCGGCCATCGTCGTCAAATAGCAGCGATGGGTCAATGCCAGGAAATTCGAAGACGATTGGGTCCGACCAACATCCAGAGCGAATATCAGTTGTGTGAATGAGGAACTGTTCACTACGTTCATCGCCCAGTACATTGGAAGCACCGTGGATGACATTAGTACAGATGATGTAGGTGATGCCATTGTGATGCCGAATTGTTGGGGCGTACAGGCCGCCAGTTGCGACCAGTTCTGTGCCATCGTCCAACAGGCCAACAAATGTGGTGGCTCGGGACAAAGACAGTTGAGATGGTCTATTTATGGCATTTCCTATGGTCTGTCAGCTTTCAACTAGATCTTATTCAATAGAGAGACTCTAACCAATATGTTTCCATGAGATCAAGTCAGTCGACATATAAATGGGCAACCCAGGATAGAGATGGAAGCTCGAGTTCACCAGATAGAATGTGCCATTGACCAAGCAGATAGACGCATCGGGAGAAAATCCTGGAATAATTGGGTTATGATAAACAGCCACCATGTTGAGTATTTCTGGGATTGTTTGAGAGAACGGAACTTGCTCGCATCGACTGAATTTATGTGGCGTCAGGATTTAGCCTGTTGAGACACGGCCTAACACCCACGAACACCACCCCGCATTTGATGTTCCTATTAGCCTGAAATATGAAAGAGAAGTGATTCGGTGAATTTGTTTTTCGAGGGTGTTTGAAATAAAGGGACTCCCTATTGGGCCGGTTATATTGGACCAAGCTACTATGGGATGAGCTATACATGTGAAGTATTGGTCTATATATATGTTGTGGAGCCCTCCTAGAAACAAATGACTTTGATATTGACTTGGACCTCAAAACAAACATGGATGCAGCGTATGAGACGGTAAAACCCCCTAAAGGTCATTTCTTCCTCGCAGGGCGAGTATTCCCTCGCGTGAAATGGTGGAAACGGCGCAATATGCGAGTCTTGTACTTCTACATTTTGATTCTAATTGCGACCAACACGGCCAATGGATTTGACAATTCCATGATGTGAGTGCCCGGTTATCCCGATTGTTTATTTCTCATTCTCATTGAGATAAGGAATGGATTACAGGCTTTGTCCTACTGGCAGGACTATTTTGACCACCCCAAAGGTCCAACACTGGGGTTGTTCAACTGCGTTATGAGTGTGGGTGCGCTGGCCGGTCTAGTGATTTTGCCTTATATGCTTGATCATCTGGGCCGCAGGCTTTGCTTGGTTTTTGGTTCTTTCTTTATGTTGCTTGGGGTGGCTCTGCAGTCAGGCTCTACCAATTTCTCCATGTTTGTCGGCGCGCGATTTATTCTGGGATTTGGAGACATCATCGTCATTTGCACTGCGCCGCTGCTCATTACAGAAATTGCACCAGCTCAAGACAGGGCAATTCTGGTCACTATATCTGGCGCTACCTACCACTCGGGGGCTTTCATTGCGGCATGGACGACATACGGAACGCTGAAAATCAAAGTAAGTGATCGAGATCAAGACCAGCAGGCCTGTAATAATAACTATACCACAGAGTGATTGGTCTTGGAGAGCACCAAGCTTAATTCAAGGAATATTCACATTGGCTATGCTGGCAGTTGTGTGGTGGATCCCGGAGAGTCCGCGCTATTATGTCTCCAAAGATCAACCAGAGAAAGCCCTGAAATTGCTGGCTTACTATCATGCCGAGGGAGTTGAGAGTGATGAGGTTGTTCAGCTGGAGTTCACCGAAATCACTACTGCGATTGCAATGGAGAAGAACGCAGAGCATTCGAGCTCTTATATCGACTTTTTGCGAACTCCTGGTAATCGCAAAAGACTCCTCATAATTGTCTCTTTTGGATTTTTTGCCCAATGGTCAGGCAATGGCTTGGTATCATACTATTTGAACCTCATCATGGATAGCATCGGGATCAAAGACCCCAATCAGCAATTGCTGATTAACGGCGCCTTGACTTCTTATAGCCTCGCTACAAACCTCTTCTTCAGCTTCTTTGTCGACAAATGGGGCCGGAGACCAATCATGCTCATCAGTTCGGCGGGAATGATGGTTGCTTTTGTGGTATGGACAGTCCTATCAGCAAAGTATTCTGACCATGCGAGTCCATCACTTGGATCTGGAGTTCTGGGGATGATTTTCATTTACTACCTATTCTACAATCTAAAGTAAGTTAATCCCCTAAACAGCCTGTTATCATGACTGATATAGTTAAGGTCCGGTTTGATCGCAAGTTATACCACAGAGATTCTTCCATACTCTATGCGTGCCAAAGGATATACCATCATGGAGTTTGCCATGTATATTGCGCTATTCTTTAACCAGTATGTTAATCCCATCGCGCTTGAGAATATAAAATGGCGTTACTACATATTCTACTGCTGTTTCTTGGCGGTGGAAGTGATGGTCATCTATTTCTTCTACGTGGAGACGCGCTATATGCCTCTTGAAGAGATAACAAAAGTTTTTGATGGAGACGACATTGCGACAGCTACAAATCTCGAGATGGAAAAGATCGGAGAGAATGGAAAAGGGATGAGCACCTCAATTCATATCGAGGACGCAAGTGCTTGAGTGCAAGGCAGGTTAGGAAACAAAGAGTGAGATAGCGTGTGCGATCTGACTGTGTGGTGGATGCAGAGTAGCTTGAAGCAGCAAGCTTTGGATCATTTGAGAAATGGAATTCTTTCATTGTTTCCTAAGTGCATTTCTATCGCGCTTGTTCAAAAGGGCAGCTCTTAAATCATGAGCCGTCCGTCTCTTCATCGAAAACCTTCTTTCCCTTATACCAAGTTTGGCATACTCGAGCTTCGAGAAGAGATTCTGCAGCCCAAACCATATCCAGCACAACAAAATTGGCAGTGTATCCGGGACGCAGACTCCCTGTCCAGGAATCTGAAAAAGACGCATATGCCGCTTGCACAGTAGCTGCTGAGACAGCGGTTGCGAGCGACACAGCAAACTCAAGATTGACGGTTTCCTGCGAGGAAGGGTCGATAGACGACCGCCGAGTAGTAGCGACGTAAATATTGGACAGTGCGTGGTGTTCGGCCGTGGGGGCATCTGTCCCAAAAGTCATATGAGCACCACTATCGAGGAACTCTTGGTAGGCGAAGGCTCGCTTGCAGCGGTGAACCCCAAGCATCTCTGGCCATGCGCCGAATGTGGCTGGGTCTAGGTGAACAGGCTGAACGGAAGCCACGATTCCGAGTTGACCAAGCCTTCTCGCGTCTTCGGGGGTTGTTATCTCTAAATGCTCAATCCGATGACGATATGCTGGTAAGTCCTGAACTGAAGATAGACAGTCAATAGCTTGCTGTATTGTTCGATCTCCAATTGCATGAATTGCGCACTGTAGGCCAGCATCAGTAGCACGGCGAATAGCTGTGGTAAGGGCATCAGCAGGCCAGATCGGATCGACAATGTTGGGAAATCCGCCATAAGGTTGGTGTAATCCCGCAGTGCATCCATCTACGGTTCCGTCGCAGATCAACTTGATGCCGTTGATGCAAAACTCTGGGGAGGTGTTGCGGTTGAAGCTTTGTTGAATTGCAATGGCGCGATCAATCTGAGTGTAGATATCGGCGTCGCATTCTGAGTATGGCACCAGCCAGTGTGCTGCCACATGCATTGGTATCTCACCACGTTGGGCTCTGTATACATTCAATGCCGCCCATTCACTCTCTCCCATTGCCATATCCACGAGTCCAGTATACCCAGCTCTTCGATGAGCATCGATGGCAGCATCGATCGCGGCCAGCTTGCTTTCCATGGACGTGACCTGGTCCAAAAACGGCCAGACGATGTCGAACTGCGCCGCCTCCTCAATTAAACCCGAAGGAAGACCACTGTGGCAGCGATGAATCTTTCCTCCTGCAGGATCGGGCTTAGAGTGAGCTTCGAGCTCTCTGAGGGCCGCATTATTGCACCATGTTGAGTGAAGGTCCAGTGCCTCAATGTAAATAGGCCGCGGATCTAGGTCGTCCAAGTCTGTTGCAAGAGCCTGACCATCCGTCACCGACTGAACCCAGCCCCGACACAAAATCCGAGGATCTGATGGGTGAGTAGCTGCATAGGAAATGATGGTATTTTGGATATCTGCGAGGCTCTTGCAAGGTAGAAGATCGAGCTTCTGCAACGACATGCCGAAGTTGAGGATGTGAACATGGCTATCAATAAATCCCGGAAGAACCATTCGATTCTTTAGATCCACCTTAAATGCTGTCGCTTGAGCCTGAACGACCGCTTCGTCATTCTCCCAGCCAACGTGCGCGACACGGTCATCCTCGACTACCAGCGTGGAGACAAAACAACCCGACGAGTCAGGACAGAGAATGCGGCCATTAGTAAATACTGTTGTTACCATTCTGATATGATGAGAAGAGAGGCAAAGTCAGAAAGCTCGGTTGAGTTGAAGGCGAGGGAGATATCAAAGTTGAAGGTGAGGCTGGGGTTCAGCTAATGGGGAAAAGGTACGATGGCGATTGGCTGTCTTGATAATCAGATGAAGAAATGGTGTAACGCCAAGACGAGGTAAACAACTTGGAGTGAAGATTGATTAAGCATATCTCTTTCTTACTCTCAGTTATTGTTTTTACTTGATGGAATGTTTTGTATGGCTTTGTTGATTTATATAGAAACCGAGACATCCTGTTACTTCGTGTTGCGACATGTCTTTGAAGACAAACACTTACGTATGTTTTTATACATTAAAATAGGGACTTAGAGCACTAAGGCCGGTTTCATGCCTGGTTAACAATAGAATGAAGCTTTCAGGACAAAATCATATCGACTTTCGTTGAATTGGCAGGGATGCCTAGCAGATGTAGTGTACCGAGAATGAAAATAACCTTATAGGCTGATAGCTTTCCACTCACGGCTCCCTTATTGTAGTTCTGTAATACTCCTAAGAACTATTCCCTAACAGCCAGGCCCTGGTGCTCGAGTCTCTCTTGCACAGCCAAGTCGCAAGGTTGTTGAGGAAAGCAAGGATCACCCAGTAAAGGCAAGTATAATTATTCATACGGTAATCTCATATATCCTGAAAATTGTATAGATGTGCCTGTTAGACGTCCTTGATCATACAGGTCCCTATGGTTGTGGCCACTTTTGGATTCTCGACTTTGACCAATGTTTTGTGGCTCAATGTCTAGGGGGATTTTCTGGTTGTATTCATCCATTGAAGAAAAGCATTGCTCCTCATTCCAAAGAATGGCGCAAATATGTCAACTACATTCGGCCAGGGTATGCTAGGATTCCTTACTATTGCGAAGGATGTCGGGGTGGAGACTGTAGATGGGAAGGTCCTTATTAAAGTTCCTATATACTGGCTGCCGGATTGTAACAGCCTGAGAGACCTGTCAAACAGATCCCAATGGAGATCTCAGCTGCATACTGCGTACTCCGTACACCATATCTGCATATCTGACTGTTGTCAATCAACGGTGGAATTTCCGAGGTGTTCGGCATTGTCTCCGATGTCGAGAGCGAATTTGTCAGCGGATTATTCCAGTGGGGGAAGATCTATATATAGAAAGATGGGCATTCTTGTCTTGTTTATTTGATTGCATCTCTGTATTTCTGCTGTAAATCAATTGCCAGAAAAAATGGGAGATACTAATTTTCGTTCCCCTGCCATTAAAAAGGCAGAAGCTCTGCCCTATTTCACACCCGCCAACAATGCCGGTCAAGCTATAAACCTGCAACCCAACACCCCGACGCTGTTCCGCCCATTGCGGATTCGAGATGTCACGCTCAAGAACCGTGTGATCGTGGCACCCATGTGCACATACTCCGCCGAGTCAGACCCAACTTCTCCGGCGGTAGGGGCGCTCACGGACTTTCACATCGCGCACCTCGGCCATTTAGCCACAAAGGGCGTCGGTCTGATCCTCATTGAAGCCACATCAGTTCAGCCCAATGGTCGGATCTCACCAAACGACTCTGGCCTGTGGCAGGCTGGAACAGACTCCGAACAGTTCAAAGGACTCCGCCGCGTGGTAAATTTTGCTCATAGTCAAGGGGCCAAAATTGGCATCCAGCTTGCTCACGCCGGCCGGAAAGCGAGCACGGTCTCGCCTTGGCTCGCATCCCAGGCAAATCAACGGGGGATAAAAGCCGATGAAAGTGTTGGTGGTTGGCCATCAAATGTGGTTGGCCCTTCTGGTGGGGAAGAGCAAATTTGGGCACCTGGCGATCAATACTGGACCCCTCGCGAGCTTGAAATCACCGAGGTAGAGGAACTTGTTCGGGCCTTTGCACGAAGTGCAGAACTTGCGGTACAAGCAGGAGTGGATGTAATTGAGATCCACGGTGCTCATGGATACCTACTTCATCAATTCCTCAGCCCCGTTACCAATCGACGAAGCGACAAATATGGTGGCAGTTTTGAGAACCGAACTCGGGTCTTACGCGAAGTGGCCGCTGCAATCCGTGCTGTCATTCCAAATGGAATGCCCCTATTTCTTCGCATCAGTGCCACAGATTGGCTCGAAAACCAACCTATCGCAGCCGGAACTGGAAGCTGGGATATGCCATCCTCGATCCGACTTGCCAAAATGTTACCAGACCTAGGGATCGACTTTTTGGATGTAAGCTCAGGGGGTAATCACAAAAGCCAACGCATTGAACCGCATACAAACTATCAGGTTGACCTCGCTGGTCAGATTCGTCAAGAGATTCACGCAGTCAACCATGCGACGCTTGTGGGAGCTGTTGGCTTTATCACCGAGGCCGAGTCCGCTCGAGATATTGTTCAGGGCGCAGAAGAAGAGGCACAGGCGACCGCGGCAATCCTCTCTGGCCCAAGGCCTCAGGCTGATGCGGTGTTAATGGCCCGACAATTTTTGCGCGAGCCCGAATGGGTGCTCACAGCGGCCAAGAAACTGGATGTGGAGATATCTCTCCCATTGCAGTTTGCCCGAGGCTTGCTGTAAATACGACATATACACGGAGTATATCATAGATTAATGTCCCTCATTGTAACCCTTTGATTTCCCTGTCTCCAGTCATAGTCCAGATAGTCGCACAATGTAGCCATACTCTGCATCGCAAGGCCGAGAAAGGGGGAAGATCTTCGGCGATCATTTCCATATTGAAATTCACCGTCACCATTCACGGCAGCTTTGTGTTTCAACTTCGTCCCCTGGAGCTCTCGTCCGGCCCTTGTCCGGCCCAGGTGACTTGTCGTATATGAACATGGGACGAATGGTGCATATGGTTATCAACACCAACTCCCGCACTTCCCGCGTTGTCCAGTTACATGCCAATGATTGATCAACGTGCAACGCCAAGCACCGGGCCAAGACTCGGGAGCCGATGTTACAATGCATTTGAAGATGGATCGGTGTTAGATTAGCATTGTTTATGCATAGAGTGGGCTTTTTTGGCTTGACTCGATAGGTAAAGCCGTATAAAGTGTGCAATTCCAACTTCTTCAGATTGCCCTTAATTCTACATTCTCGACAGGTCTGAAGATATTTCAGTTGAAATTTCGAGGTGAATCAGGAAAATATCCTCATTCGCCAAAGAAAATCATGGGGTTCTCCCGCACAGCGTTGGTTCTAGCCTTTGCCTTCCAGCCTCTCCTAGGCGGAGCGTTGCCTGCCCCATCACCTCCTGGAATTCCGTCCACCTCTACTGCCACTAGTCAGCTGGCAGGGTTGACCGTCGCTGCACAGGGATCCCAGGATGGATATGATCGTGACAAGTTTCCGCATTGGATTACCATCAGCGGGTGAGTAGACGAAAGAACTGTCAATCTGGAATGTTGTCTAAGATTGTCGGCAGAAAATGTAATACACGTGAAACAGTCCTGAAACGGGATGGAACCGACGTGGTCCAAAGCTCCAGTTGCGCTGCTACCAGTGGAACCTGGGTTTCTCCGTATGATGGCGAGACCTGGACAGCTTCCAGTGACGTCGACATTGATCACGTTGTCCCGCTATCGAACGCATGGAAGGTAAGCTCGAATTATCTGACAACATTAAGGGTTGAGGTATTAATGAATATTGGCAGTCGGGGGCATCCAGTTGGACCACAGAACAACGTCAAGCCCTTGCTAATGACCTCGAGAATCCACAACTCCTGGCAGTCACGGACAATGTGAACTCCTCAAAGGGAGACAAAGGCCCTGAATCGTGGAAGCCACCCCTGGGTATGTCCTCTGCCGTATGTGTTGTCTGGTCTATAGCTTGCTGACTTAGAAACAGCTTCATATTACTGCACGTATGCCAAAATGTGGATCAAGGTGAAATCAGTCTATGATCTTACGATCACTTCAGATGAGAAGGCTGCTCTTGTTGAGATGCTGGATACTTGTTGAAATGTCGATTCCAATTTCTTGAAGCTTTTCATCGGTTTAGCTGGATCTTGAGCAATTCTTTAGTGGCAAGAAATGTGTGACAGGACACGAAAGAATAAATAACAAGTTGAAAGAAGCCCCAAATTTGTGAGAGATCTATTGCATTCATTCAATATGACTTCAAATTAAATTTGTGATGCCATTTTATAATTGATCTCTCACTGGAATCTCGATGTTGCCAGGCGCAGAATAAATTCCAAGAATTGGTGGGAAAAAAGCGCAAAGACAGTGCTTTCTATCCTCGATAACTTGAAAATAATGCACGCCTCATCATGAGCCTCAAGTCACCGACAATATTGTTTTGACCTCGAGTCTCGACCGAGAGGACTGTAAGGGTATTCAAAGCGGAGTCACCTTCGGCCAAATAACTACCAACGCTGATCCTTCGTCTGACAGCCATCGAAAATGTTTGGGGTAAGCGCGAGGATTTAGTATTTTGGGAAAAGAATCATCGCTCCGTGGGACAGCGCAATGTTGTCGGTGCCAGATTCCCATTGTTCGTCACTTGAATGTATGAGAAACTGGACCACAATTGTGCTTTCTGTATTCTCTTGACTCCATCAGAATTTTTGTTGTGCCAATTCCATCTATTTTCTTCTTCGATGGCAGAGACCTTGGCCGATGCAGCCCGTGGGTTAGGGAGCACTTAGTACAAAGCGAAGACAGCCCGCATAGCCCCGACCTTCGTGCTCAGTCACAACCTTGTGATTATTAGACAAGAAAACATGCCTCCCAGGAGGTATATTGAGTGATATATCATATTCTGATGGTCAATAGGTTGTTAGATTACAAATACACCCATAGATCTAACTACCTATTTTATAACTGATATTGACATTCTCATTTGAGAATATGATACCAATACAATGTGATTTCAATGCACCTGTTACGGATTGATGCTTATCCTGATCTAATCACCAGATTCAATTCAATTATTAACTCCCGTGCCGGTCTGATACCATCGTATCTCAACATACATGGTGCCGTGACAATTCTCACCATCACGAAAGGGACATATTGATGGCTTTCTATCGTCACAGGACCCACTGATAGCTTAGAACTGGGATTTCAAAGACAGGAGCCGTACATGTAGCGTTGTAGAAGTCGTCGTAGGTGCAGCTCAGCTCGAAGTCTGTGCTGCCATAGTAGGTGATGCTGCTTCCATTTTCGCACTTCATTGCATGCCCACGACCCAGAGTATAATCCATATGCCCCGTTGAACTTTCCAGGTTGGTGGTCCCGTAGAAAGCAACAATGCGCCCAGCACCGCGATCGGCATAACCGCAGTTACTCTCACCATGGCCCATGTCATGAATGCGGTACCCAATGTATTCATCGTGGCAAGTTAGGCCATCCTCGAACTCGATATCCAGTGTTTCCAACGGGCCATAGCCCCATGGCTCATAGCTTGGCATTCCAGTCCAGCACACGTTGACCATAGTCCCATTGCACGTCGCGGGATCGGGCTCACACCACCCATGCCCGCATAGACACCCTCTGGCATTGATATCTGCTTGGTTGTGGATGCAATCCAGACTGTGAGAGCCGTTGTACCATTGAAAGTTGTTGACTTGCCACGTGGGAATCGGACATCCATCGGGCGGAGTGATAGAGCGTGGTTGAAGCTGGGAGGCCGACGTGCATGATGAAAGTGCAAGAAGACTGAGAAGGGCAAGGGTTGCCATTTTGCAATGCAAATAGGGTCTTGAGATAAGGCAAAAGGATGGGAGGACGAGATTGAGAGTAAAGTTTAGCAGCTTTATATATTGAGATGCAGAACGAAGAGTGAAACCTCACTCACTCACTCACTCTCTCTCTCTCTCTGTGGGGCCAGTATCTGCAAGTAAGCTCGCTAAACACAGCGTCTTTCCATAAAACAAAGCCAATTGGGTTGTTCAAAATTCGTAGGATTTGAGACACAGCTGCACTTCTTCTTAGCGCCTGACGATACTTTGCAGTCATCTCATTTACAGAAACTATATCCGACAACAAGATTCCAAGGACGTTCGGTGTACCCCCACCGTAGTGGGATTTGCACATCTTCAATGCGTCCTAGTACGGGACATCAGCTAACTAAGATAACCTCGCGATGGGAATTTTCCTCTTTCTTTTCTTTGTAAGAAAATCCCAGAAAGGCTTCACAGTGAAGTTGTTAACAAACATGTACTGTGGGGCAAATTCGATAGAAATATCTAAGTAATATGAGATCTTACACTAATGTTTATCGTGCAAACACTAGTTTTAAAATCAATATTCAATCGTGTTAGGGGTATAAGAGGTACCGAGAATTTGTGATCTATCGGTCAAATTGCCATTAGTTGAGCGGGCTGTCCGAAGGTCCAAGTCAATCGGTATGCGGGTCCATTCTGCGCATTGATCCATAGCCAATAGAAAATACCTCAAGAAAGTAGTTGGTCGGTCCATAGGTCATTTAAAGGACCCCAACGCACGTATAGTGAAGATTGAAGAATTGATCCATGCAAGGTTTCAAGTGTTCGACATGAATTGTGTATACGGAGCAAAGCCAACTGCATATAGATTTACGAATGTATCCTTCATGCTACACTAGCTGTCTCGGATGAACCCGAACAATTGACCAGGACAAACAGACAGCTCCCCAAAGTAAAAGTCAATTGTGACAGTATGTCCACCACAGAGAAATCTAAAATTCTTGGTATCGATGAGTATAGAGGCCATCCACACAATTGTACAGCAAGAAACACAATTCAACTCTGATCAATACTGCTGGGGCTGCCTCCTTGTGTCAATCAACTGAATCAAAAGCACCGGAGTTAGAGACACCACTGCGATAATACTACACATCACACCAGCAGCCCCGCTTAGCCCCAATGTGGCATACATATCAGGGAAATAAAATGGTCCGCACTAAGCAGCCATTCAAATCAGCATTGATCTTGAATGAAAGTGAAATGCTTTGTTGGATACTCACAAATCCATAGATTTGACGACAGAGGTTAATGAAAACACCGATGCTGGCAGAATGCTCCTTGTGGCTATCGACCGCGAAGGATATGAGAATGGTGGTGAGTACCTGGTTTCCAAATGCAGCGATAGCCATGCCGATGCACGGTGTGACGTTCCAAGTAGTTGCTTTTTCCAATTGAAAGCCCCATACAAGCAACCCAGTGAAGATAGTGCCATACCCAACGTATGACAGCCACAAACGATCTGCGGGAATGGTGTGGCCCTTGCGACGCTGTAGTACCCTGAGGAACCAATCTGACATTGGCCCACTAACTTGTTCACCAATGACGGAGCCGATGATGATGGAGACAAACTGATACCCTACTTGCTGAGCATTGAAGTTGAATTTTTCACCAAAGATTAGCGGTGTCTCAACGATGATGGCAATGTTAGCGTAGGCGAATTCAACTCCGTATGCAATACCCGGAATTAGGATGCGAGGGTATTTTCCAAGAAAAAGAGGAGCGATGAAGCTTTGCAGCTCAAAGGGACGAGGATCAAGTCGGCAAGGGACGAGTCGACTCCAGCCGTTGCTGGGCTTTTGAGCCGCGTTGACATCCTTGACATATAGAGTCTCGTCACCAAGCAAAAGGTAAGCAATCAATTGAGTGCCGTTGATAATTGTAAATATCCAGAATATCCAAGATATTCCTAGATGTTGCACGACAAAACCATTAATAAATGCGCCACCCGGGATTCCGAGAGTGATCAACAAGGTCCACCATCCCAACTTTCGGGCACGCTCTTCCGGATAACACAGCTCCGTCACTACACCGCTGCCAATGCCGAGAGGGGGAGATGAGCCATGCTGCAATAGCACGAGTAGCCATCTGCGTGCCAAATGTTCTGCAGAAGACGCCTCCGATGTTGCAGACCATGGTACCGAGCACGGAGAATATGAAGATATGGTAACGTCCATAGCGCATCGTAATGGGAATCCAGAAAAACGGGGCAATTCCCAAGATAAGGATCTATGACGAATAGGAGAGTGTTATTAGCTTTATCCAGGTACAATGGCAGAAGAAAACCTACCTGGACAGATGTTAGATAACTGGCCTGAGGCACTGTGATCTTGTACTCCTCCGCCATGGCTTCATATCCAGGGATAAGCCCGGCAGCCATGAAAACGCATACCATCGAGTGGATGGCCACCATCAGGATTTGGGCATTTCGTTTCCATGTGGGCCAGTTGATCGGTGCTTCGGGTGCTTGCATATCTGAAGTTGCAACAGAGATATCCTCCAGGTGGGCTGAGTCTTCGAGTTGATCTTTTCTTATGCTGCCGAGGGCCATACTCTCTGATGGACCGGCTACCGGGGGGACAGATCCCGGCTCATGTTTTTTGAGGGCAATTGTGGGAGTCAAGGGCTTAGGGCTTAGGGCTTAGGGCTTAGGGCTTAGGGCTTAGGGCTTAGGGCTTAGGGCTCATCTTGCTGACTTCTACAATGATGAAGCCTGTGCTTGACGATGTTACTAAGGAAATCCTTGCCCGAAACAGAAGTTGCTCATGACCATGCTTAAGATCATCCCTTCTACAAGTACAACGGGCTATGGACCCGTAGGCTGCAAAATCTGGTTTGCTTTCTTGAGATTCAGCGTTGAAGACTTCTGCTGAATTCGTCTGGTCCTCCTTGGAAGGCTTTTGCGTAAACAGAGAGGGCTCAAGAGCACAAGGGACCCCAGCTCAACATCTTTCATGACAATCGAGGACGGCAGGCGAAGTTCCTGGACAGTACGTTTCTGTCCCCCTATCTATGATATAAGCATCACGGGTGCTGTATGCGCCTGATGTCACCCTTTATTACTAAGTGACATTCTATCATTAGTTCCTGTCAACCTCAAAAGAGCAGGATGCCTTCCACTTGACGATTAAGGGTATACCCACACTGGCACTGATTGCGGTCGAGGAACTGGTTCGTTTCCGCAATCTCATGGCTTTTCTGTCTGGCTGCAGCTAATTTGTTCCCAGGCCCGCTTAGCCGTTAACTCAGTCACTGGGTGACTACACCCATCCCATGCAGATTGGCAACTTTGTCAAGGAATTGTTCGCTGGATTCCAGCTCTTGAACTTATGAAGGAGAACGATATCACACCGGCTTTTAGCGATGGTATCAAGTACAGCATGTGAGTCCACTGCAACGCCTACTTCACTGTTTCAAATTTCCTAATCTATTTGGCACTACCACAGGTCAAGAAGGTCGAGGATGTGGTCATAATTCGTCGCTAAGGAACCTGGTCCCCAAGGTGGTCCACTCTACTTGAATGAGCATTCAGGGACTCCTAGACTTACCGAATTGAGCCTCATGGCGGAAATGGAAATAAAATCCAAGGCAATCAAGCGGCTATTACCGTTTGGAAGTATCAATAGGCTTTGATATTGAAATATAAATTATTATTACCACTCAGTAAAACTCCCATCGTAGACCGAAAATCGCAAACCGAAAAGGAGTAATATGTCACAAAGCCGAAGCACCGGGATATAGATACAGAAAAACAGATGAAGGAATATCCTGTAGTTCAGAAAGAATACCTCAAGCCAGGGCACACGACAACTTGGCCTGCTCAGCTCCAGCCTCACTCTTCTTCAGCGAAACAGGTGCCCTCTTTCTTACACCTCGATCTCTAACGATGGTGTCCGCAAGTCCTTCGGGCTTAGTAAGGGACAGCGTATTTCGCCCATACCACTCCGGCGGAGACGAGAGCTTCTCAAAGTTCCATGACGCTTCATGCCCAAATCCCAGGCTGCTGCTCCTTCAAGAAAGTCCAGACCGGTGCAGCGTTAGCGCCCGTTAACATCCAGTTTTCCGGCACAGAATGTGACTCCGTAGTTGACCTGACGAAAGACTGAATTTCATCGTCCGAGCCAGGGTCATGGCTGCCGAACTGGTTGCATGGGAATCCAGGACAGTGAAATCTTATTCCGGATACTGGGCCTTCAGGTTCGGTAGGATTTTCAGGCCTTCAAACTGGGGAGTGAAGCGCATTTCAGGCGATGTTCACGACTGGGGACGACCTTGCCCGTTCAACGAGGAGAGGGAAGGGTGCGCCCTTTTCTGTTCGTATGTTGGCGTTGGTTAGCGATTAGATGCACGCGGGGCTTGTGTATGCGTGAGGAAGTAGATGAAGAAAGGGCGCAGGGTTATACGTACTATCGACGGGCTCAAGTCAAAGAAAGATGTAGCAGACGACATGGTTGTGATTTGACGTGGATATGCGAAAAGAGGAACTGTCTCTGGAGTGTTCGCGGGGTTGAATACAATGACGTCGTTAACTGGAAAGTTATTGGAAGGACTTGGCAGAATGAGACAGCGAAATTTTTGCAAACACGAGAACATGACTCTCTTCTTGTAGTTCTTCAATCGTCTACAGTGACCGAAAGTCAAGTCACTTTCTTACCAATTGGCCGTGGGCTTGGCCACACGGTATCCAGAGGAGCCGACGGAGCTGCAAATCGTCGAGCCGATTGATGAATGGCTTTGATTGGGCTGATTTTCTGATTGGTTCATCGAGCAAACTGGGGTAGTGTTGTAACGTTATTCCAAATCATTGCTGACTGTAAATGGAAATCTAGAGTCATAAGAACATAAGGTTGGCTCGTAGTATATATTATAAGACTTCAATGAATTATGTGTCTATATCTGTAGATAAATCAAGGCCTTCATGATAATTACTCAAATATAAAATAGAAAATTAGGATACAAAACGATTGATATATATATATATGTTGAGTAAACAACAATTCCACCGGTAGCTTTTTCCTGTCAGTAATTTCAAGACACAGAAAAATAATAAAATTGACAAAATAGGAAATACGTACATCTGCTATAACCCCGAGCATGCCATTTGGCAGGTGGCACACCTATCACTGTCCGCTATGGTAGTTAACACGAAGAGCTCTGGTAGAAAACCACTGAGAGCCATGCAAATTAAATGCTGCCTAAGGTTTTCAACCTGGAAAGCTTCCTGACACTGCTTTTAGCCATGGTCACGCGCCAATGACCATGAATGGACAAATCAAGACTACATCCCCGAAGCGGATCAATGCGGCATGGACCCCGTCTGTTGTTCTGGGAGAGCGGCATTCAAAGGCTCCAATTAACTACAGCTACGCGCACGTCGAGATCAATGAAAGTATCAAACCAACATGGGGTTACATATTCCAAAAATTTGGAAGACTAGGCCGAGCGAGAAAAGAGAACATCAATTTGTGCGTTCCCCTTCCTCTCAAGGCAAGTACCTGCAAGTCCACACGGATACCGAATACTACTTGAAAATATTATACATAAAAGTCGAGTAATCATAAAGCCCCAAAAGAATGACTATATGTAGGAAGAAATGAAGAATAGAAAGTATATCGTAATGACTCCAGTATGGCCGCAGTAGTCTCTATCATACTAGTGGCGCGAGAGACAACGCTTTAACCGGCACCAACGGCACTGCTGCCGATGGGAAAACCGCTGTTGGCACGGCTGGAAATGCTCTCGATTCTCCCCCAAGTGGGGCAGTTTCACGCCCAGAGCACCTTCGGGATAATGGCAGCGCTTTCAAGTACATGATACTGGCAATGGTCTTAACAGTCTTACCAAGACAGTGGTATGATCACACCTAGGGGCGCTAGTCAGGCCGCTAACGGCAGAGGTGACAGGCGCAAAAATGTTAGCGACGTATCTATGGTATAACAAGCACCACCAACGGCATCCTCAATGCCAGCAACAGAGCCCTCCACATTGCCGAGGCTTGGGAGAGTGGGAGAGTAGGCTAAGCTAGCGAGGGCAAGTGGAATGGTCAATCCAGTGAGCTTCCTTATTGAGATAGTTGTATCGAAAGGGCTGAAAAGACTGAGTTGGCGAAGAAGCAGTGTACAGACATAAGAACAGTGACGAGAATTGGTAGAATAATAGTATACAGAAGCGAATGCGGAGATGTTGAGACGTAAAGGCCGAAAATGATATAATTGATTCCCTGGGGTTGTTTTAGCAACGTGCTTCGTGCGGTCATCCAGGCTCCCTCGGATTTGGGGTGATCTCGTGTATTCTCATGTAGTGAAGATCACAATGTGAGAGATTTCGCATGGTCTAAGTGGAGCATATATAACCAAATCAAATATTCCTTCGTCAGAATGAGAAGAAATAACACCAGCCAACGATCGGAAACTTTCCGAAATCCAGTGAGGATGTATATTAGCGCATTGACCAGAGGGACTTGGGCAAGGGTCCATATATGCTAGGCTTAAAAATGTCGATCACCGACTTTCTCAAAGGGAGTCTGGAGGTGAGTTTGCCCATGTGGAGCATTCGAACTTGAAAACAAAACAGTTCCATCGGACATCCTTGCGTTGACTCTGCATGAAAGCCAGCCTCTACCGATATTGCAGTATCCACCCTGCCCTTGGTGCTTACTGGCGTATGGAGGGATGCTCTGATCGAAAGTGGAACCTGGAGGCTGTCTGTTTGTTCTTCGTTGGAAAATCAGTCTGTAGTTAGCGAAACCGGTTCGCTAGAGATATCCATGTATGCCTTATCAGGGTAGACTGTGACTACATGATCTATTTCTCGAACCTAAAAGAAACCACCAGGAATGACCAGTCAAGCATGGAGCCACAAGCCATTGAGAATGAAAGTCACCATTGAGGAGATTCAACATTCGACAAATCATAAACAGTTGCATCGAGCGAATTTCAGCATATGGTACAGATATGCCAATTGTTTACACACTCTGTAGTGTAGTAGATTGGTCACTTGTGTCAAGCACTGTGCACGCAGCGACTTGAATATCATCCCCCACTGAGATAACGATGGCCGTCGATAGTACAGATAGTTAGGTATCGCAGTGACCATCATGGTCTAATAGTGATGCATCGGCCCTATGTATGAGGAGGAAGCAGAGGGGCGTACAAGAGCCTTGTTGTTGACCTCATTTACTGGTGATTGGAGTCTTAAGTAGGGCATTGATTGGGAAAATTCAAGACAATTATCCGTCAGAGATATGGGTTATTGTCATGTGGAGTCAGGATATAGGATTCAGAGGTGAAGACTGAGGGTGCGAATCCGGAGTTTAGTGATGTATCAGATGTGAGTAAAGAAGTTCCAGAGTTGTTCGATTAGTGTTGCTTGTGAAGTTTGTGTTGTTTGTGCGATTTGAGCAGTTTGTCTGTTTATTGTGGTGTTGATGTTTTGGAATGTGGAAGGCACCGACTGATGCCTGAGGCAATAGGCGTTGTCACGTCAACGGCTCAACTAGGCCTAACTAGGTAAGGCACAACATAACAGTGGCATGGCAGCTGCCCCCCAAACATCATGAACTTGGATTTTGTGTTGATTTCCTTTTCCTCTAATCCACCTGTACAGGTTTTTCGCATCCCTTTTGGTTTCTCTCTATTCTTAACATCTTATCCTCATCGATTCATCTCCTTGAGTTCGATCATGAGGCGTTTAGGTCTTACTTTTACCGCGACTATTTTCTTACTGGCTTTGCTATCCTCCGAGTCACACTAGAACAACAGGACCTGTAACGGTCCTATACTGATCTATCCTCGCTCTTCATCAGCGTTACACAATCACTCCAGTTCTAGGTGGCTGTCAACAAACAATCCTCAATATGACTACCGACTTCAATCACGGCGGCCAGATGATCGAGTACATCCAGGGTTGGTACAATGTTCTTCAGCAACTAGAATGTCTTTCACCCAGAATTGAGAGCTAAGCAAAGCTATGATTTAGACCGTCTCTACCTTGCGTCTTATGATTCTGCTCCCAGTTCCAGAACCCCGTTTCCCTTCCATCTGGACGCACCCAAATCCCCAAGCAAGCGTGCACGTGCCCAGCCCGCCACTCCGAGCAAGCGCCGTTCTCCCCGTGTACTTTACCGTCGACGACACTCTTCTTTACAATGCCTTCCACGCTGATTTCGGCCCACTCCATATTGGTCACCTTTACCGGTTTGCCGTGCTCTTCCATGAGATTCTTGGCGATCCAGCCAACAGCGACCGCCCGGTGGTCTTCTATAGCAAGACTGATGCTCGGAGTCGCGCGAATGCAGCCTGCCTTGTTGCATGCTATATGGTCATGATTCAATCCTGGCCACCTCATTTAGCTCTGGCACCCATCGCACGGGCAGACCCTCCTTACATGCCTTTCCGTGATGCTGGATACAGCCAGGCAGATTTCATTTGAACATTCAAGATGTCGTCTATGGAGTGTGGAAGGCTAAGGAACAGTCTCTTTGCGGGCTTCGCGACTTCAATCTTGAGGAGTAAGTACCATTGTTTACACTGCCGGAGACTGAATGCTGATTTTCTTCAATAGGTACGAGAAATTCGAACGAGTTGATATGGGTGACTTCAACTGGATTACACCAGACTTTCTTGCCTTTGCATCTCCTCAGCAGCAGCCCGTGGCACCAATTCCTGTCAACAGCCCGAGTACAACGCATTGCCCGCAACAATCTCTGAAATTTCTTCCTCAAAGCTTCCCATGCCATTCAAGAATGTTCTCGCCCATTTCCACCAGCGCAACGTCGGTCTTGTTGTACGACTCAACTCGGGCTGTACTGCCCGTCTTGCTTCACCGCAATGGGAATCGCTCATATTGACATGATCTTTGAGGATGGCACATGCCCTCCCCTGCAGCTCGTCAGACGATTTATCAAAATGGCCCATGAGATGATCACCATCAAGAAGAAGGGCATTGCAGTTCATTGCAAAGGCAGGTCTGGGCCGTACGGGCTGCTTGATTGGTGCATATCTGATCTACAAGTATGGATTCACCGCCAATGAAGTAATTGCCTTCATGAGATTCATGCGACCCGGTATGGTCGTTGGACCTCAGCAGCACTGGCTCCACCTCAACCAAGGGCCTTCCGTGAATGGTGGTTTGAGGATAGCATGCGCGAGAAGCTAGCACAGTCCACACCTGTAACTCCACGAGTGTCCACAAAGAAGCGCACTAGCAGCGGGGTCGTCTCCACCCCCCAAACAATAGCCACTCCAAACGCGCAGCCCTCGGAGAAATTGATCACAACGAGGCTGCAGCTTACCCCAGACCAGGATCTTCCTGCACCAACTCCTGGCCAGCCTCGCAAGTCCCACCGAAAGGACTCACGTCACCACCCTTATTCCCGAACTGCCTCCGGATCCCTCGCTGTTGAAACCGAGCAACGGGGCCACCGCAGCCACAGGAAGAGTAACGAGAGCAGTGAGAGTGAAGAAGAGATCCAGCTTCGTCGATTAGCGCAGCGGTCATCCAGGTCTCCTGTTGCCTCCCCCACGTCACGGTCTATCAGTTACTCTGCCACTGTCACAGCCAGCTACACTCTCACAGAAGACAATCACAAGGATCAAGAGAACTGGGTTGATCACTCAGCACCCAAGACTCCCGTGAGCCGCAAGAGCGGCGCTGCACCTATCTCGGTCAGCAAAGTTCGCTCCAGTCCTCGCCGGGCAGCGGAAAATACCCGCAGCGAGTCTCGTGGTGTTCGCAAGCCCAGTGGCCGTATTGGTAGCAATACCATCAGCCCCGCACGGGCTATTAAGACCATCCACTAAACGTTCTGCTCTCTTCTTTTGCCCCAAGGAACTCTGCATGTTTCTTCGGAGCGCTTCTTCCATTCTTCTCGTTCCGCTGGGACAAAACTTCTGCATACCCCTTTTTCGTGATGCATCTGGATGCCTTTTAATGTTTTGAGTTCGCAAATCTCGGTCTGCTGTTGTTTTCTGGAGCGAATACTGGTTTTTGGGCATGTTGTGCGCGGCGTTTGGTTTTTGTTGTTAATTGACGAACCATCAGATCTCTTGCAATTGGGTACCGAACCACTTCGTGCCACATGTTGTGTTGTCTGCAGGTTTCGCTCTTGTATGTGTCAATTCTACGTCTATATGACAATGCTGTTCATGAACTCCCTCGAATTTGCATTTCTTCCTCGGTTTATTGTATCTCTTGAACTCAACGTCAGTAATATTGAACCCAGTCGTCTGGGGTAGATCATAGTTGGCTTTTTGTTCCACGGCCATGCCTTCCACGCTGTACCATATGGTATCACTCGCACAGCAAGTTCTACATGGAGTGAGGTTTGCACCAAATACAAGTCTGAGTATTCCATATCTCTCCCATATTGACTATTTTATGTTCCAAGAGCGAGACCTCAACCCGCCCCCACTCAACTCAATTGGCAGCCAAAAACTATATGCACTGTTAGCGATCGTTCTATTCCATACCGAGGGGTCAAATCTCACCTCTTGAACCTCTTCGTCCTCAACAGCAGAGCTATCCACTTCACTCTTCCCGATAAGCCCAAGCTTCCCCTTCCTCACGAACCACCACAGCTCCCTCCGATCCCCACCTAGCTCCTCCCGCAATATCTTACCCTTCAACTGACGCACAAAGTCATTGTACACCACCAGTTCCTCATAATCCACTAGCTCCTCGCGCATAGTACCAAGGCCTTCGATGACGCGGTCGTAATTCCGAGTGACCGAGACTGTGCGTTATCTGGGTCTCAATAATTTTAGCCATTTTGCTGCACAGCGTCGTGGATCGCGTCAATGTTTTCTGCGCGGGAAAGTGTTTGCTTGAACTCCGGGATTGCGTTCTCGGTGGAAATTTTCGTTCGCTTGGGTTCAAGGCTAAGGAGGGCGTCGACGTCAAGACCTGACAGGGGTTTCTCTGTATCGCGCTGGCGTTTACGACCTTTTGTCTTTGGTGGAACTATCAAACGAAATCCGTTGGTAAGTGGAATGTTTTCTAAATCTATTTTGAGAATCAGTCATACCTTTCTTAACATCAGCCGTAGACATCAATCTCTCAAGATGGGACTTGGAGTTCTTGACTATCTCTTCTGAGGGGTGTGCGAATTCCGTGAGGCCGCTCTGAGGGTCAAGGACAGGGTCGCTGGGATGCACTGCACGGTAGCGAACGGCTGACTCGATGCGGTGCAGTAATGGGGAGAATGACTCGTCAATTGGGGAGATCATTAGTTGGTTCACTAACTCTTTTGATTAGCTGGTGTGCATGATAATCAAGTGAGCCCTAATTACCCTTCATCATTTGTGGTGACAAAATCCATGCTGTCCACGTAGTTACTCATCGCATCCTTCAGATCGGCATTTGGAAGGTTGCGGTGTTCCGTTACCACTTTGCCAGAGACAGTAATGATCTTGTCTAAAGGTGGGAACCGATATGATCGCACGTCTTCTGCAAATGGAAGCTGTACTTCTATCAAACACTCATAATCTGCCTCGACGGATGGGGCGAGTAACACGAGCATCGGTGGTTTGGATTCTTTGGTCACCAATCGGGCAACCGCATACGAGTCTAATTCATAGAGTGCATGAATGAGGGGAAGACAACGCAAGAGATGCATTGTCATTTTGCACGCTGAGGAATGATGATATTTGTGTTGGACATGTGCATGTATCGGTCATACTAATGACAGGAATTAGCTGTGATAATTGAGATTCGCACAGAGACATACCTGATCCTTCTTAATGAACCCGATTAGCCCCATGCCGGCAAAAGTTTCCAGATTGGCGACGTTCTCATCAGTCTGCTCGATAGGAACTGCTGTACGTCCATACTCGTACCCCTTGGCGAGGTCATCGCGTTCAACGTCGACCTTGCCCCCTGAGTGCAGACTCGTCTGTGATCTGATAGGTCCGTGACGTTCTCACCGAGGCGAGAGCGTCGCCTTCAGCATTGCCTTTACCCGGTATCTGACTTCCTGGTTCGGTGCCGGGGCGTGGCCCGAACAAGCTCGCTGAGATCGGCTTGGCGACGTAGGTTCGGAAGTATCGCTCCACGGGTATAGTGATCGCTGTGTCATACTCTTCGGGATTTCCGAGCATAAGATTCCCCTTGAAAGAAGGCATGCTCTTAGTCACTTTGATGCGGGGAATATCTAATTCCGAGACAGCTTGCTCCAGCGTTCCATAAACACCTTCGCACTCCTCAGCCAGATTGCGGAGAAGAGTCTCATTTTCAGCCTGCAAGAACTCGGTTAACAATCAATATTCCAATATATTGAAGACGACTTCGTACCTTTCGACTGTCTTTATCTTCTTCCTTTACGCCATACTCAGCGTCATCCAAAATCGGCACCACTGGATGATATTAGCAGAATGCAAAGTCACATCAGTGAGAAAACATGCATGATCACCAATTCGATGTTAACTTCTTTCATCTTTTCAATGATGCCTTCGATATTATCATCGCTCATCATACCAGTGCCATTAGTCACTAAAATGATCTTGCGCTTGTATTTGTTTGTCTTGGTATAATCGAGGATCATCTGGATGGCGATGACAATAGAAGATATGGCTTTCATACAGTCAGAATAGCAATTTAGCGATTCTTCAACAGCCACTTACCATCGCCTTTATTAGTTGTGCTGGGTTTGATTGTTTCGCGTAGTCTCCGGATATCAGGCATGAGGACTCTGAAAGACAATTTAGTCAAGTAATTCAATATGGAATAGTCATTTCAGCACGCCACACATACTGGCCAAGACCGAAGAGGACGGAAATACTAGAAAAGTTCTCTACATCCAAGTCATTGATGGTTTCTGTTCTAAACATGAGAGAGGGCTCCCAATGGATGTTGACAGGTAGGCTACCACTTACCATCCGTCCTGAGACCAACCACGCCAACCGTAGCCGTCTTGCGACCGGTGGCAACCTGGGATTGTCAGTTCTCTGGCGTTGAACAAGCTCAAGTCACATACCGTGGCGGTGATCCTATCCCAGACATACTGCATGGCCCATTCGAGATCTGTCATAGGACGGCCATGGTGGCGCTCGCCCATAGACCGTCCCATATCTACAATGTAAACCGTAGCCTCTTTCTCCGCCATGATGATGGTGCTGTTGGGGAAATAACAAGTCAAAATTGCTTGAGCCTCAAGACAACAGGCAGACAGGCAGACGCGTGATATTTCCACTTGCGGTTTAGACCGAAACGCGAAGGCACATGACATCACACGCTGTATTCGTTGGTGCTCGGTGGTCTGTGCGTCGCTATGAGACAACGCCGCCTATTTGGAAGTGGAAACAAGGCTTTCCCCAATAGCTGGGCCGTAGCGATAGCTGCCCACTTCTTTCCCTCGATGCAACCTCACATCAACTCTATCGTCAACTCAACTCTCCCGATATTATAACATATACGAAATCATGGATCCTCGCCCCTATCACATACTGAGGTTTGTTTATATGCGAAAATCACAACTCATATGCTAATAAATGAGGCAGTTACGGTACCCTCCTAGGGACACAGTTCTACCAGGTGAGATCGATATCTGAACTGGGCACATATCAAACTGTCCTCTCCAAACCATTCTCTGACATATGTCAAGTCTTTTTGTTGGAGGCTTCGTTGCTTTCCGCGCCCTTCCGCGGCCCCAGTTCTCTAATCTGCAGACCGCCATCTTCCCCATCTACTTCTCACTGCAGACTGCGCTGCCTGTAGTCGTCGCCTTGACCGCTTCCCACGGCGGACAGGTGTTGGGTTTGTCTGGTCTCACTGCACCGAAGAACCGCTTTGACACCCTCTTGCCGATGGCAACCGTGGCAGTGACCGGGTTGGTGAACATGTTTGTATTGCTTCCCATGACAAGAAATGTGATGCGCGAGCGCAAGCATCAAGGTGCGTTAGCTGCTGTCACTATATTTTGATTGAGAGTCAATTGATCATTCTAACCTTTGCAGAAACCCGTGATGGAAAGAAGAGCTACGACCCCGCGCCTCACTCTAAGGAAATGCTGGCCTTGAACAAGAAATTCGGCCGCGTGCATGGCATCTCAAGCTTGGTCAATTTGGCCAGCCTGATTGCTACGGTCTGGTACGGTGTCGTGCTAAGTAAGAGACTTGAGTAATGTGGCAGCGGCAATCAACAGCAATACTCAACAGGAGGTTATATGCATATAGCTCTTGTAAATATTTCGTTTATTTTCCTCCGTCTATTGTATATCGGTTTATACACAGAAAGTCTCTCTGCAGGGTTAAAAAATTTTCGCCTTTCCATTTTTCTAGCTGTAAAGCTGAGATGATGGACAAATAACTAGAAAAAGGACATCCAAAAGCATATCTGAGCTGACATCGAAAAATTCTATCAAAAAAGGCTCCCAGAAATGACATGATAATTCCACATAAGGGCCTAACATCTTTGTACGGCATGAACGAAAATACACAATTCTTTCATCTTCTATGGTCACGGTGATCTACCTGATTATGTGGACATTGCCCGAAGAGATGTATTGTTTGAAGGGCTAGTATATGTTGCCTGGCATCATGTCATCTCCACAGAGCCAGTGCTCAGTAATACGTCAAGACACCGCCCACGAATAAAAAAAATGGCACCGTCTGTTCTATATCTGCAGCATCTAGCCTTTATGCGCTCTTTCCCTCTTGCTTCCTTTCTCCCTTAGACTTGATATCACCTACTTCAGCAAGACGCTCGGCACCTTGATAGAATTCTGGCAGAGGCTCCAATTTTTGACGAAGAATCCAGACACGGAAATGCCATAAGGCATTCTTGACCTGGTATGAGGCATGTTTGCGAGTCGAAACAGAGAAGACCTGGTCCAGTTCTTCCAAAGTAAGAGCTGAAGACAAAAATATTAGCACGATGAATCTCAGATAAGTCGGGACGCTTACACTTTGTTTCAGGCACAAACAATAAGACCAAAAACCAGCCGATTACACACCAAGCAGCATACCAACCAAAGGCACCCTGCGGTTTGAAAGAATCGACCAGATGCGGCCAAGTAAAAGATAGAATGAAATTAAAGCACCAGGTAGTTGCTGTCGCCCATGACATACCGACGTCGCGGACTTGCAGCGGGAAACACTCAGCAGCATATGCGAACGGGACGGGCCCTTCTCCAGGAGAGTAGAATATTTCAAACAGGTACATGCCCGTCGTGACCATCGCAATTCTCTTCTTGCTTGTCTCGTTCCCTTCTTCAATCCAGAAGGAGAAGCCAGTCCACAAGAGGGTGATAGCTAGGAAGGGAAAAGTGAATAGTAGCAAATTCCGGCGACCCCAGGTATCAATCGTGAAGAAAGCTGGTAGAGCAAAGACCCAGTTGAGAATACCGGTTCCCATGGATGCTAGTAGCGCGCTAGTCAGACTGTAACTTGCTTCGGTGAAGACGGAGGTAGAGTAGTACGCAATAACATTGACTCCACAAAATTGCTGCATGAACATCACAATCCAGCTCGCGAGTGTAGCACGGCGGTTTCGTGGGATGGTAAAGAGCTCAATGAACATTGTGAAGAAATTCTTGCCCTTGTTAATCTTGCGTTCAAGCTCAACGCCCACATGTGCATAATACAAATCTCTGGCGGCCTGAATGTCTGTTGGACGAAGGAGACGGAAATTAGTATAGGCTTTTTGGATTTTGCCGTGCTGGATCAGCCATCTTGGAGATTCCGGGCAGAAGTAGACTTGAGCACAGACAATCAGTGGCAGTACGACAGTGGATCCTAGCATGAGACGCCAACTGATGTCTCGGTCTAAACTCATGAAAGCAACGCCCATTATGTTGCCAAGCATGATCCCGAAGGCCGTCCACATTTGCCACATCATTACGAGAGCACCTCGAATTGGGGCAGGAGAGCATTCTATTGAATCAGCAACAATGAAAAGGAAGTCATGCAACAACACTTACCCGCGGCGTACACAGGCACAGTACTCGATTTCGACCCGATCCCCAGACCAAGAACAAAGCGGGCAATGAAAAGATTGACCCAGGTATTTGCAACACCTTCCCATACCGAGGCAACAGCCGCAATCACGCATGAGATAAAGATTGTACCACGCCGGGCAAATAACCGATTTAGGGGCTCAGTAAGCCAGCAACCGATAATTGCGCACGCCAAGTATGGGGCACCGACAACTAGGCCTTGGATGTTTTTGGAAGTGATGTTGAGTTGCTAGAACAAAAGTCAGATTATGCTAGCATGATCAACGAGAGAAGACGTACATCTTCAGCAAAGTAGATAGCCTGAGCACCATTATTGACGGTTTCGTCCATACCTTGTACAGCTGCAGCCAGAGAGCACATTGCTGGAGGAGGGAAAGGAAATTAGCTCAGGCAAATGGAGCACCTGTAGTCTCACACATACATGCTAGGAAGTATAACTGCCATGGCTGTGACCACTTGTGGGTATGTTCACGCTCGAGGGCTTCCCTCTCTTCCTCCGATAACTCGGGGAGACTGGTTGCCATTGCGGGATTTTGCGAAATGAGAGCACCCTTTTTGAAAGTCTCGAGATGATCCATCAAATCGTACTTGGTACAAAATTCGGCAACATCTTTAAAGAGTTGTTCGCGTGAAATTCCGGCAAGAGGGTTCTCGAAGACGGCATTAAGATTGCCAGGAGAGCGGCTCTCGAGGTCTGTCTTCTCTTCCTTGTGAGGGTATGTAGGATCTGGGCTCTCCTCTATATGCTCTACCTTCTCTGCAGTGGAGCCGGTCATTCCCATTCCATTGTCCTTCATATTGAATGAGCAAAGGATGTCAAGTGACGATCGAATATCTCATGAAACACTAGTAATGTACTGAACAATAATCGAGCCTATGGGTGTAGCCAAGTCAGCTGAAAGACGTTCTTATATGAAGGGTGATAGGCAAGAGGTAGAGTGACCTGATCTCAAATTTGCGGTTTGTTACAGCCTATCAAGGCAAATCTAGAGCAATGGTGAGAACAATTTCACGCTTTTAGGGCGAGGAGACTGGAGGGGCCTTGTCTGCTTTATAGCACAAGCATCCATTCGCCCCCAATGTTGGAATACACTAAAGCCTCAAACTTGCATTTAGTTCGGGTGGTCTTCCACACAAAATCAGCCGCTAGGAACCATAGAGTACCATTCATGTAGCATGATTTATATTAAAAGGCATGGTCTGTATCAGGTTATTGGATACTGGACCCTTGGAGCCCGAGCTAGAGGATCGCTTAATGAACAAAAAAGCAGGGCAGAGCTTGCGGGCACAAAGAAACATCCCTGTCATTGGAGATTGCCCACACACTGAGGTTGCCCATGGGGAGTCGAGGTGAATCATATAGAGGGTATCAACTATGTCATTGGACAATAGGAACGAAGTCATGACCAATGAGTAAGAAGTTCATCGTACAATCCGATAGCAGCTACAAGCAACATGGAACCCGTGGACGATCATGTGAATTACGTCATTGCCCAGGAGACACCCGTGACCTTTGTGTTCCTCGAAAAGGCGGGGAAGGATAGACCTCGGGAGTCAGCTACACTTACGTAAGTCATGTTCGATCCCGGGGCCCCGGCCCAGGCGGAAAACACAGGGTGCCATTCTATACTTTCCTGGTCAGATTTTCCTCACTGTAGCTTTCTTCGTATTTTGAAAGTACGGAGTACATGTCGAAGCAAAATAATAAAACCCCAACCCAATTTCAAAGGCCCTCAAGCAAACCCAATATCTCCTAGTGATCGCATAAATCAACATGACTCGGAGATAAACCCTGATAAACCAAGGAATCCAACCCCTGGCCACAACTAACTATGTGGTTTAACTACTCAGCTACGCTCCTTCGCACCAGTGGCACCCGAACCAAGTCTTCCAGTGTCCCCCTCAAGCCATAAACCCACGCCTGAATAGCCCGCAACTACGGCTTATTTCTATACAACTCCTTAGGAAGATAGGGTTTGACGAAGCTTAAAAACAACGCTTTGGAAGATGTCTAAAGTCTACTCAAGGGATTATCAAGGGATTGAGGAGGCTCTTTATGATGCTCTGGCCCAGCCGTGAAGGAGGCTTCCAGAAAAAGTTCAGTCAGACTGGCGGAGTGATATATATCTGTCAATCTCTGCTATATTCCCGAGCACAAAAACAATTGAAAAACGATACAAATCTTACATCCTCATGCCATTTTCACCAAATCCCCGCTCTTCATCTAGACTGGTATAATCAAACTAATAGCCGCGGGAGAAGCAAAAATAGATTTTGACCATGTAAGCCAGATAGAATACCTAAATACTCCGTATATGGGCAGTAATTACTGTATGATTCGTGGACGTACCCAATTAGGAAGGCGGTTCTGGTTTTACAGGGGGGGCAGTGCGGCTCCCTTCGCTTTACAATATATGCACATAACCAATAACTTTCATAACAGACTGTATAAATGTGTTATAGATCACAATTTCTCAATCCCCGAAGATATTACATATGTATTGAGACTTGGGCCGCGACTATCATTACGCAGTACGGTGAGTGAAATGAGTTTGCTTCTTCCTAGTGGTGACCAAGCTATCGGGACGGTGTCAGTGAGCAATTGAATAATTTTCGTGGATACGAGGGTAAAAGTACGGGTACACAAAACTTACGTTGTCCCGCCCCGCTCACTGGCACGGACCTGGGGGCCTTTTTTTTTTAACTTGGCTTTGCCCTTGACTCTCAGGCGTTTACATGATATATATATTTTATCCGGAAAATGGAGTTCAGGGAGTCAAGTTCATTCGTCAGGACAGAAGTACATAGCAAGTAGCAGATATCATTCAGATCATGGGTGGCTGACACAAATTACACCCGTGGACCTCGACCCGTTGCACTGCACCTCTGATTGGTTCAAAACAGCCCCCTTATAGCCCTGCGGATCATCACACAACAGTGAGCTAATCATCTTAGAGCGATCAATACGTTAGCTGTTGTCGAACCAGTTATCTTTCCCCAAAATCCCCCCCCCATTGACAGTTGTTGCACGGGATATGCACTCTCAAAACGAAGGGAAAAGTACATACAGTGACTGGACATAAGTTTTTAACACGTCGGGCCCCACACCCCCCTGATTATATAATATACTGCCGGTCTAAAACCTCCATAAATTCATACTATAAAAT